TGGTTCAGGGTTTTTCTTACAGACATGGAGATTGGGACAGAAGCCCCTCATGGTAACATGGGAACCAGGACACAGAAGGTGCTGGGTGGGGCAGTTCCCCGACAAGGCTGAGTCATTTGGGCCCTTCACACCCTACCCAGCAGCTGGGCCTGGGCTGGTCCCTCTGTTCCACCCTGCACTTGCCCAGGCCTCAAGGCCACACTGAGCTAGCTGACCAGGCTCCTAGGGAAGCACTGGGGAGCCTGGTGGTGCACTCTGTCCTCAAAGCCCCCTGCCCAGGGCCTGCTTCCCGGAGCTGTGTTCTTCCACAGGACTGATGATTCACCCCTGCCCAGGCCTTTCACTTCTCCTTTGGGGCTAAAAATATAGGGACCCAGGCATCCAGCTGGGCCAGGCTGCCCACAGATTGCACAATGCCTGTGCTGGAGTTCCGCTGACGCAGGGCCTGGGGACGGGTGGGGGCTGCTTGCTCCCTAGTCAGAGGCTAAGTTCAAGGCGGAGACCCCTCTTCTCTTTTCCAACCCTAGAGGCTGGAGTTACATGGAGGTGCCAGGGGACTCTGGGCTTAGCTGTGACCCCTGAAAATGAAGCTCCTGACTAGCCCCCATAACTCAGGGATTCTGGCTCATTTTAAAGGGAGAGTCCTATTTAGGGTTGGGAGGCAGATGATACCAAAAGAGATGCAGACAGGGAGCCACGGGACCAGGAAGGGAGCAGAGATAGGGACAAAAGCTAGGACCAAGAGCCTTATACAATAGTGTATGCCTATCATCCCAGTACTGGGGAGGCTGAGGCAGGAGGATGGAAAATTCAGGACCAGCCCAAGTAGCTTAGCAAGACCCTGTCTCAAAAAAAAAAAATTTTTTTTTTCAAGGGCTGTAACTCAACAAGCAGGCTCTGGGTTCAATCACCAGTGTGTGTGTGGGGGAACAAAAAGTTCAAGTCTATCTTAAGGTTATGTTACATTTTTTGGCTTTTTTTTTTTTTTGAGACAGGGTTTTGTTTTGTTTTGTTTTTTAATGAAGTTTAGGTTGGGCTCAAATTCATAGTGATCGTCTTGCCTCAGCTTCCAGAAGGGTTAGGATTACAGACATGGGCCACCACGCCTGGCAGTATGTCACTGTTCAAAGCAAAACAAGACGAAGTAAGACAATTGCCAAAACAGTTACCAAAAAAAGAGGAAGAGAAAGAGGAGCAAGAGAAAAGAGCTAGAAAAAGCAAACTACCCCCACTGGGAAAGACTCAAAAGGAGTGGATAAGAAGGGCCAGGCAGGGCACCACACCCAGACTGGGCAAGGACAGGGCCCCTAGAGCAAAGGTTGTCAGGGGGCAAAGTTCTGGTCTATTCCAGCCAAGGGAGGGAAGGTGGAGGCGGACACCAATGGGGAGAGGCGGTGGCACAAAACGTCCTACCCACCATGTTCTCTGCTGGCAGCCACTGCCCCCTGCTGGCAGCCACTGCCCCCTGCTGGCTGCAGCTGCAGTGTTCAGATGAGAATATAAATGAGATCACAGTGCTTTGGTTTAAATCACTTTTCATTCACTCTGACCCCACCCTCATTGCCAAGCCACCTCAGAGGGTGCCCCCAGGGCCAGTGGGTGGCGTGGGCGTCTTGCCTGTGACCTTGTTGGCACACTCCAGCAGGGCGGTGTGAATGTCCTTGGCACAAGCTATCTGGGCTTTGATGACGGCCAGGTACTGTGGGTATGGCAGGCTGTCCGGTTGCACAGCGTCGGGCTTGGTGGCTGTGGGCACTAACGTTGGAGAGTGCTTGGCACTGTCACAGCTCTGTGACAGGCACTCATGTGCCAGGCGCTGTAGACAGACAGGCAAGGGTGCAGCATCAGCCTCACTCCAGGTGCATACAGCGCCCCCATTACCATCCTGGGGCAGCTTGTTTGGCTTGGTGACCCCTAAAGTCTTGAAGTTAAGAGCCCAACTCTGCCAATCATGAGACATGTGACTGTTCCTAAGCCTCAGTTTCCCTGTTTGGAAAATGGGTTTAATAACTTCCTTTCCCTGCTGAATAAGGTGACAATAGGGATGTAAGACCCTGGTGCTGGTCCTGGCATGTTTTTTTTTTTTTTTTTTTTTTCGGAACTGGGGATTGAACTCAGGCCTTTGCCCTTGCTAGGCAAACAGTTATTCTACTGAGCCATCTCCCCAGCCCCCCTGGCATGTTGTTTTAACTGATCGTAACTGATGAACGTTAGCTAGAATTAACTATCCAAACCCCAGGCTTGGCAGTGGCCTCCCTTCAGCACCCATCCCAAGTTTCTCCCCTACTTCTCTGGCTGCTCCTTCTAGGTGCTCCTTATTCTACCCAAGACCTCTGCAGCAATTCCTAGGCTCTTCTTTCTCTTGTCATGCCCTGCCAGGGCTGCCACACCCATACACATCTCTCAAGCTTCTACCTCTGCAGCGGTGGTGCCTACATCACTGTCCCTAGCCTCTGACATTCCCACCCCTCATATCCTTCCCCAAACTACAGCTTCTTGTGGGCTCTCATCTTAGGAAGATTTTACCATTCCAATTATAGCCCTGAGCCTCAGCCTGGAAACTCCTCCCTGAACCACATATTACTAAAAGCAAATGGGTCCATTTTTTCCCTTAAAATTCTCTATGGCTCCCAGTGCCCTCAGGGTTATATTAAAAATTCAAAGGGCCGGGGAGATGGCTCAGTAGAATAAGCGCTTGCCTGGCAAGTACAAGGGCCTGAGTTCAATCCCTGGTTCTGCAAAAAAAAAAAAAACAAAAAACAAAATCTAGGGCCCATGAGATAGCCCAGTGGACTAAGCACCTGCTTCGGCAAGCTCAGGGACTGGGGCACAAT